CAAAATGCATACGGACAATCTACTTAGGCAACAATGTTTCTCAGGAAAACCCATCAAACGACCCAGCAATCCGGCGAAAAAAGGCACAGTTTTGATTGAAAGTTGTAGACCTCCAAAAAAGTTCCCGAGTAATACCCGGTAGAGACAAGACTTCAATATAAAATCCCCATATTGGTTGGATAAAGACTGATCGGATTGTGTCAGCGAAAAACTAATCAAGAATATAGGGTGGGAGCGACAACATCGTTTCAAAATGAAAAATAAATAGGAATACAATCATCATAATCAAAGATAATAACACGCATTCAAATTCGATCACAAATATTCAAAATTATTCGGCAGCTTCTTCCTTTCGCATCTCTGATATAATCCATTCCTGTTGTTGACTCAAACGTCGGTCTGCAAATGAATCTGTCAAACAACAAATTCGTGTCAATCCAATTCGTGTCAATCCATCTATCACACGCAAATGCCTAATCAACATCGTATGCAAATCACCTATAATATGCATACCTCAACGTCACTCACTGCGAGGCAAGGAGCGCTTTGCCAAAATGGTTCTCGAGTCACGGAGGAAGTTTGTCGATTCTCATTAATTGATGGCCATTTCAAGAGGAATGTATTCCTTATTCTTCCCTTTCATGCTCTCCGTTCTGATGTAATGACCTGAAATTTACCTTAGCGTCCAGTGAATCAAAATCATGCATTTTTGCTTCTGTCCATGTTTATAGCGACCGAGCTTCATGGGGATATATATCTCTTTATGATCCTCTCTTGCATGAGTGATGGATATCAAATTCAGTGAACACTTCATTAAGCAAGTACTTCGTTATTTTAGATAGGTTTACTGTCTATTCACCACAGGAGAATTGTGAGATATAGATCAATATCAATACCTTACTACGGCTCTATAGGGGTTACCATCTTCAAAGTAACCGTACTCTCAGGTTTGCACTATAACATGTGAATTTCTTTGCACTTTTCGATTGCTCACAATCTCAACTTTCAGAATATCATATATTTTGCTGAGCAATTATGATTAGATGAAGAGATATAGCTATTTTCTCATTGTCATCTTCGAGCCTACTGTATTCTCAAGTTTGCCCGGTAACATATGAATTTTTGGGCACCATTCGATCCATCTGAATTTCTACATTCAGAAAAACATATATTTTGTCGAGCAATTCCGCTTTCTTGAGGAGTTGTGACTATTTTCATAAAGCCACCTCAACAACAAGCGCAAAATCGTTCATTCTTGTACATTCTATCAGTACAGATCAATATCAATACCTTACTAGGGCTCTATAGAGGTTACCATCTTCAAGGTAACCGTGCTGTCAGGTTTGCACTTTAACATAGGAATTTCTTCACACCGTTCGATTCCACAGAATCTTTGGATTCAGAAAAGTACGTATCTTGCCGAGCTACATAAGGAGAATATGGCCAATTTCCTGAAGGTAATTGAATTAACGCAGTGGCGCTCGTTCACTTACATTGTATCACTGTAGGTCGGTCTATACATCACTACAGCACCATCACAACTGTATTCTCAACTTTGTACTGTAACATATATCTTGTCGAGCGATCCTGCTTGCTTGAGAAGATTTTACTGTTTTCCTGAATAATCGCGGGTTCGATTCCCGCTCGCGGAGGAAAGTTTTGCTTGAAACCGAGTGGTGTACCAATATCATTAATATTTTCCTGATGTTATCTCTGTTAGCGTAAAGGCGCTCGTTCACATCCATTGTGTCGCTATAGAGCGATCAATCATTCAAGGTAGTGTTTGCATGAGATCGCGGTAATACCGAATACCGGTATTAGAAAAGCGATTCCGATCTCTTAATTCGTGGTGTCGATATTCAAGGTATTTCTGACATTCATAACCTAAGTCGTTTGAGGTGAATTTAGTGGTATATTTATATGCAACTGGAGCGTTGATTGTAAGGAAGCGTATTGAGATTTTTCATTTTTTGTTGATTTTCTTCGTTGATTTTTTTGTAGCATTTTTTGTTGGCCGAGGATGATTCTGGAACACCGGGTCATCAAATTTCTCGTAACTCTTCAAACCAGAATATCCGTTATGTACCGAATGCCTGTTTAAATGACTATCTTTCGTCTGGAAAGTGGCCCTACGGTTACCATTATGCTTCTTAGGAAGGAAAGTTGCAAATATTTCATTCCAGTTTATCCTTCCTAATGTACACACACATGCATAAAATGTTCATCTCCAAATGTTTTCTTGCTAATTGATAAAGAATCAGCTCAATGCATATGTTGTTTACTTGAATTCATCACGTGAGAGTGCCCGTCAATAAAGAATGGCTATATTGGAGCAGTCATTAGACTGTTTCGTCAACATTCAATTAACACTTTATACAATAGATGAATGTTTTTAGTGAAACTCAGAACACCTCAAAACGTCCACATCGTTAACCCTACAAGCGAACTCAATGCGCAGTTTTGTGACTGTTTTAATTGGAGTAAAACAGATGATTCGTGTACTTGATGAATTGAACAGAAGACATTTATTAACGATATTTACATTACGCTTATTAGGTGCAAAATGATACAAACTTTATAAATTATCATGCGGATCAACATTTTGAATTTTGGTCGGAAATAAACAATCAGCAAAAAAGTCGTTCTGATGAATGGCTAAGCACGTTTTTTTGATAACAAATTCAGCGTTGATGAATTATCGAGGATAATATTGAAAGAATTGCTATTAATACGGCGATGTTCCCATTCCCGACGAAAAGTTTTGGTGCACTGTTGCCATATTCAAGAAAAAGTGGATGATCCAGTTCTTCGATTATACCTGAAATTTTATTGCAACTTCATGATTAATTCACACACAACTATTGAAATAACAATTACAAGCAACCAGTTACGAACAAATCGCGTACCAATACAGCGATCTTGTCAGAAACAAAAAACGCCCGTTTTGTTGAAAGTGTGAGCTAAATTTTAATACTGAGAAGTTTTTCTTTCGGGGAAGGACGTGGTATTTAGGGACTTTTTGAGATGTAAAGAACAGAAATGCGCAATCCAACCATTGGTTGGATTGCGCATTTCTGTTCTTTACATCGCATTTCTGTTCTTTACATCCAACCATTGGTTGTATCAAGAATGTTATTGAAATGACTCATTGCGACAATTGTTTGACTTTATTATTTCGTCAAAATTCACGATCCCAAATTCTCGAACACTTCGTGCATTGATTTTAACGATAATGTGTCAGTTGCACTTTTTGAATTCATTCATCCAGTGGGTTATGAAGACTGACTGCATAATGGATTAAAGAAACCCACTTAGATGAGTGAATTGTACGTGTATGTGTTGAAGTTTTTCATGTGGACAGAGCACATTACGAGAAGGTATATCTCACGATCAGCATTAGTTGCGTTCGTAAATAAATATAACGACAACAGTGATTGTGTACTGTGAGTAAGTGAGTAAACAAAAAGTTATGATGCAGGAACTAGGAGTTATTCAGTGAACGTTTCAACGAAACATTTTGCATCTCGTTGTGAGTTTTAAACGACACTTGTTGTTAGCGTGAGTGAAATGTAACTGTGCAAAGCACTAGAATTGGATGAGTTCAAGTTTTGTCGTTTGATCGAAAATAATTTCGTGTGTGAAATATTACGGCAATGCACTGAATCAGACAAGCATTCAACGTAATTCAGTTCTTCGCAAAAGAATCCCATTCTAGAACAGAAGCGAAACAATCACAAAGAAGCTTTGACGTGAAGCGAAAGTGAGTGACGTTCAACACGAATGTTTCTTTTTTCGATTGTTTCCTTTCTTTGATACCTTAAATCAGTCAGTACCAATAATTCCGCAAGCGACTCGAGCACCAGCGTCACCAGTCGTTTTACTTGCCGGCGTATTACCACGACCCAAATCATCCGCTTTCTCATGCACCACAATCGCACGACCTATTACTGAATAAGGACCGCGTAACGAGATCACTGAGTCTTCGATTGATACATTTGCAACACCAGCCTCCTGAAATTGGTTTTAATCGATAATCATGCAGTCGAACATTTTCATGATCACTTTGCAATTCATACTTGATCACTGAAAACTAAAGGTGAACACTTATATAACAACATTAATTCCAAATTCTTCTAAATAATGCTCTACTTTGAACATTCCAATTTACTCGATGAAAATGGTATCTGTGTACAAATCGATTTTTATGGATCTTCACATGTCATGTTTCTTTAGAGCGATTGATAAACAAACTAACAATTAGCGAATTGACTAGGAATAAGTAAATGAAATAAATACATCGAAAAACTGCAAACAATCACAACATTTCTTACATTTGCTTCAATATTTCCTAGGTCGCCAACATGTCTCTCGATGTCATCGGGTGCGCCGTGAGTTTTATTTGATGGATTAAAATGTCCACCTGCTGCCACACATCCATTTCCAATATCACCTTTTTCATGAACATGGAATCCATGCAAACCAGGCGATAAACCTTGTAGTGTGCCCTTGATCTTAAACAGTCATCGCATCAAACATCACATTACACTCAGCCAATACCCACTTTGTCCGACATGGATTATTTATTATTCAATACAATAACTGCTTTTATACAACCTGCATCACAAAACAGACGCTATTACCTATCATGTTACTCTAAATCCTTCATAATTATTGCTATGCGTCGCGTAATCATCCTTTTGAAACTGAATCATCATTTCACTGTGAATTAAAGCGTATTTATGTGCCTCTTCCTCATCAAATGCATGAAGCTGATATCATAATAACAGCAGAACAATTTTCGAAGCTATGTATAGACGTGAATCATTGGCATTTCAACGTTTAAGGGCAAATGAAAAAATGTCTGTTGGCTACCAACAGTCACGATGCAACAGAAACAAAAGTGATAACTGCTGACATCAAATAGGATAATGCCTGTAATGAGTCGGCATCGCTAACGAAATACTTAATCGTAGTGAATGAAGAACTCAAAATGAATTTCATTTATTCGATAAACGAAGTTTATGAATATTTATTTCGGTTTAAATGCATCCGATATGAAGAATCAACTGCATGTTACCTCGACTGTTCCTCCAACTTGTTTCATATCTAAAACACCGATTTTTTCATATCGATACTCGTCGTCTTTATTGGCTTTGAGGACGCAAACCCGTGCTTTTACAGCTGCAAATTTGTACGCCTTATGGTGGTCTTCTTCACCAAAAGTGACTGTTGAATAGAAATTGTATATAAAGAATCCTTTAATTTTATCACTAACTGTTCTAAACGTATCAACTGATTTGTGAGTCAATTCTGGCGAGAAGTAAATCAATTCCATTACAACGAACTCGCTATGAGTTCCACTAATCAATTGAAAATACGCTTCAAACTCAGTCCAAAACATACTCACCGTCGGCATTGATGTGTTCAACTGCCAATGATAAAGTCGAAACAAATATCAGCATTTGCAGAAAAGAATCAGAGATCATCATTATTCCCATCGAACCGAATAACAAACGCTTCTTTACACAGCCGTCCGTCCTCCCGTGCTGCTGAAAACAAATGGCACAAACTGCAAAAGTCTGATATTTGGAATATGACATGAGAGGCGTGAGAAAAGTAAATCTAGTTTTTGTTGGAACTGGTATGAAATAAGTAAACTTTTATCGTTGCACAATCACCATCGATTAATCAAACTGTGCACAAAAATAGAGACGGATACACGTACAAAGGTGAATTGTAGCTGGTAGTGTTTGGGTGAGAGTGTAGCGATATGCGAGAGAATCTCAGAACTCTCGAGAACAAAACCTGTTCAGATCAACAAAAAACTACTTAACGTCCGGTTATTCAACTGAATTGATATGAACGAACACTTCTTGAAAACATATTGTGTGCGCTGTGTAAAAAAACTTGCTATAATGCATTTCACGCAAGCGAATTCAATGTATTGTTTGTAATGTGATGCTACAAATTGCAGTGTTAATACTGCAATACAGCTGGTAATATCAAGAGGAGTTAATCCTAGTGAACTGTAAACAAGGATGAATCAACAGGTATGTGAAGGCACATGAACAGATTGTTCAAAAGCACTAAAATCAATGGACATCCGTAAAGTTGAAGCAAATTCTGCTGGCATGATCCAATGCAATTTCAAGTGACGCCCTCATATACCCATTGAATTGAGTTCAGTTGATTACTTTTCATTATTTGATGGAATTCGTAATGATCAATTTGTTATTTGATGCAATTCACAACTTATGAATGTTCGGCGGCACGTGCATTTTGAATATTTCATGAACATAAAACCAATTCAATTTTTTCTTAGAATTAAGCCACAAATTCGTGAGCACTTATGAAGCAGCCAGCGATACTGATGCGATAAATTCTTAAGGATAAAAATTGATCAACAGTTACTTTTGATAAAGAAAACCACCGTGAATCGTTCAGATCTGTGGGAGTACAACGTCATACCGCTATATGATTTCATTCCACATCCACGAAACTAAAATCATGTGATCGTAGGATTTCCTTTTGTACTGATTCATTCCCATACACCATCTACATTGTCCAATAATCTTAATTCTTAGAGGCTCGGAATGATAAAATCCTGTCAATCAATTTTATCTTATTGAACGATCCCTCTAAACATATTCTCTGCGGGGTAGGTCGCTATTTAAATTCTATTGGCTCATTGCATAAACAATCGTCTATTCTTAATATTCCGGAAGTGATTTTGTCAGATAATGCAACAACATTCACTCTATGGAGTTTAACATCACCTTTAGAGATCCAGTACCACCAATTACTGGTCAATAGCCCCCTCCTTTGAAAGACTAGTAGTCTTGTCGTTATTGTATTCTGCGCTAACTTAGCTCATCTTATCCTTTCTAACTTTTGAGTTTAGCTGTCGTTATTATCAAATACTGTCGTGTTTAATCGTTATTGTTGCTCATATTCAATTCTCCTATATCGCGTTCGAGTTGCTACAGAAGTACTGTCTTATTCCATTAGCGTTCGTATCGCTAAGAAAAAACTACCTTAGTGCGTTCGCTTCGCTACAAAAGGCTTTTTTTGTGATGGTTGCTGTTAATGTTGTGATCATTGTTGTTACTTCTCGATTATCTGCCAAGTTATGTCAGTGTTTCAAATTTTCGACTGCCGGTAATTAAAGGTTATCTCTGCGTGTCGTCTTGTTCCCGCAACATACGTAACCAATCAACACATTTCCCTACAACAAATAGTCGCTGAACCAATCATTTCAGCAACAAAAATTCAAATTGTATTTGATGTATTCAGCAGAACGATAAGGAACAACTATCGTTGTAACGAAACAATTTTCCGATATTTTATGATGCGTTTTCGAACAGCCAAAATAGTCAGAAATGGCGATCTGGGAAAGGCTTTTTTACGAGCTAGTTGTAGAAGAGCTGATTGTGAGGACGTGTGCAATTTGAATTCGTAGAAGTGCTTTTGGCACCTATGAGAAAACTTTCAAATATCTTTTCTTAGATCTATTTGATGGTGCTATTTGTAACCAAACAGTAAATGCATAAGAATTTTCTGAAAGAAGTATTTTGAACAACGGAGGGTTTTATCGCCCTCAAACGACTATCATTCGGTGACTCAAGCATGATTTTCATACGACAGCTTGATTTTCATTTATAGCTGTTCTCAACAAATCGAGATTTTTGTGACTAAAAACATTTCCAAAAGTCACCATCTCCAATTAACGTCCGCAAAAACGCTTACGAAAAACAAACAGCTGCCTTATCCTTAAGCTTGCCACGTATTCAAAATTGTCCTATCCTGGATCCTTTCATATTATTTCGTACAGATCATCTACAAATCATGCTTCCATGCATTATATTAAAAATATACCCATCAAAAATATCCACTCTGTAAAATACCCATTTGCAGAAGTTTTCTTTAGACACACTGAACTCTGAAATGGATCGTATTTCAAGTCATCACAATTATTTAACTTTAACAAGTGTAAGTAATTCAGTTTTGAAATAAGTTGCCGCCAAGTAATTTTTGGTTTATGTTGTGGGTTGTGAAATGGATTTCGAAATCAGCAGATATACAACACAAGGCGAATTGGAACGTTACACAATAAAGTGACAACTTAATAATATTTATTCGACAAAAACAAACAAAATCGAGTGGCAATAGAACAATGACAGTGATAAACGATAACAGACAAGCGATAATCAATCAAAAAGACTTATACGGCAGAAATTTTCCAGACCAAATCATCCTAACGCGATCGCCCTCATCACATTGTTCTCGTTCTACTTTCAGTGTAAAATCAATCGCACTCATTATACCATCACCGAACTCTTCATGAATTAACTCTTTAATTGCATCGCCATACACAGAGATTACCTTAAAATTGCTCATCAAGACCAATGGTATATCCGGATTAATCACGAGTTAACCAATGAGATTTTTTTATTGTGACAATCAAAAATGAACTGAATGAAACAATTAAAAACTGAAATGATTAACCTCATTAAGACGATAAATCAAGGGATCATGGGAGGTACCGGTAGATCCTTTGTACGGTGCCATTTGTAACCAAGCAGTGTTTTCTTGACTTAAATCGAATAATTTACGAGCGATTTGAGCTTGTTCTTTGCTCATTTGCATTTGACCGAGACACGCGGCCGTGGCCCATTCCTTGCTTTTGCCTAATGCTGCTGCTATTTGACTCCACGTCAATCCTTTCTCTACTTTTGCTATCATTATTTTATTCGTTATATCCTCACGTGATTTCACCATTCTTTTCTTAAATTAATTTCATGAATAATTCAGTCGTTCATTTTAATATTTAATATGACTGACAGACGTCAGATCGAACATACAGTTAAAATTCCTATCACTACAGTCATTCCCACTGCACTGAGAATATCGGATGAAGTTGTAGAAGAGCTGATTGTGAGGACGTGTGCAATTTGAATTCGTAGAAATGCTTTTGGCACCTATGAGGAAACTTTCAAATATCTTTTCT